AGGTACAAAGGAGGAGTTGAAGGTGGCGGGGAGAAGCGGGGGACTGCTGGCTGGCCGGTCGCTCGGCTCGCCTTGCCTTGTCATGCGTGCTGATGCCGGTACCGGGCCACAGATCATTTTGTGATGCTGGTACCGGGCCGTGGCACAAAAAAGGTTGGGGGCCACTGTTGTAAGCAACTGACAAATAAAAAATAAAATAAAATAAATAAATAAAAATCCTGGCACAGCTGATCATCAGAACAGCTGATCATCGGGAGGGGGGGGGAAAGAAATACCTTAAGGAGTGACTGGGCGGGGGAGAACACAGTCAGATGGGCATGCATGCCATGTCGCACATGCGCAAAATGTCGCACATGCGCAATAAGGACTGACTGGGCGGAGGGGAGGGGCTGGTGGTGAGGGGAGGGGAGGGGCCAGCCAGGGGCACGATTTCCCGGTTCTCCGAACTGCACAGAATCATAACAACTGGTCCTATAGAACCGATCCGAATCGGTAGAATCCCACCCCTGGCTCAACTGATTCTCACGGCACAGGGATTTGCCGCGCCTCAGCTGTTTTACTTACTGGGGCTGAAGTAGAAGGTAAGTATTAAGAGCTGAAAATGGGTGGTTGCGCTCACTGAACCAGTTATTACACCAGTTGAACCCCACCACTGGATAGCATTCAACTTATGACCGTCATGGAGTCTGGCCCTTATGGCTGTAAGTCATGATGGTCGTAATTCGGGCTACCCACACTGCAAACGGTTGAGCCAAGCGCCCGAAATGCAGTCATGTGACTACAAGGGAGATGGCCGCAACTGCGAGCAGTCACTAAATGACCATTCATAACTTGAGAACTACCTATATTCAAAGCAGCCAAAGACTTGGGTTATTTTATTTTTTTAAAGTTGTGCTGTGAACATTGCAACATATACTGTGCTTACCTGATAGCTTCTGAGTCAATATGCACAGGAGCAATTCTTTCTAAAAGAAATTTCACCATCTCTAAGAAAGGATTGGTTGGTTGCTTAGGATTTGCAAGCTTCCGGGCTATTTCCCTCTGCAAACAATAAGGTTTAAGTCATTTGATAAATAGGAGGAACACACTCACACAATATGCTGAACAGAAGCAGTTTTTTAAAATCCTACCACTTTCATAGTGTACACAGAAAATAAATATGAATAACAAGAAACTAAAAGGAGATTCCTATTTAAGCCATCTTGTTGTGATTAGCCGACAGCAGGTGCGGACGGCTGAGGAGAGCGAGACTCAGATAAGGGGCCAGGACCATTAGGGAGTGGACTGCTGCCTTCAGAGATTGTGGGGGCTGGCAGCAGCGATGAGGAGGGCTGCTTGCAGGAAAGAGCAGCTGCAGCAGCACAGGCGACTGGGGAGTAAGGCTGCAAGGTAATGGCCCCTCCTTCAAGAAGATAAAAGCCAGTTGTGAATCGGACGTTCTTTGCAGGAAGCAAAGACGTTCTGAAACTCAGCCTTGTGGACATTGCAGTATCTTAGTTGGTATTTGAAGACCCTTATGTTGTGAAATATTTCTTATGTGTGATTCTTGGCAGTCTCGTACAGTTTTGGCGAGGCTTGTGCTTATCAAAATTAATTAGTTTGCAGCAGCCTTTTAACCGGGGATTCGTAAGATTCATTAAAATGTTTCTGTTCCCTTTAGTTATTGTTTGTCTTATTGGAAAAGGGTTTGAGTCAGAACCCATCTGTAGCTTGAAGAAAAGTGGAATGTTATTTAGCAAATAATATACAGGGAATCCTCAACTTACAACAGTTCATTAAGTGACCGTTCAAAGTTACAACAGCACTGAAAAAAAGTGACTTATAGCTGGTTTTCACCCTTACGACCCTCACGGCATCCCTATGGTCATGTGATCAAAATTCAGATGCTTGGCATCTGATTCCTACTTAAGACGGTTGCAGTGTCCGGGGGGGGGGGGGGGTGTCACATGATCCCCTTTTGTGACCTTCTGACAAGCAACATCAACAGGGAAGCCAGATTCACTTAACAACCGTGTCACTAACTTAACAACCGCAGTGATTCACTCACGACTGGCAAGAAAAGTTGTAAAACAAGGCAAAACTCACTCAGCCAATTTCTCACTTAGCAACATACATTTTGGGCTCAGTTGTGGTCGGAAATCGAGGACTACCCCTTGCCTCCCTTGATTCAAAGTGGTCTCCCAAAGACTTCACTGATATTTCCAACTTAAGATTTTTTTTTTTTATTTCAGCAAGGATCAACTAGGTCTGTGTTCGCGAACCTATGGAAAGTGTGCCAGAAGTGGCACGCCGAGACACTTCTGCCAGTATGCAAGACCTTGTCCGGAAGAGCCCCACTGCGCATGCACGCGCTGCTGCCGCCCGACAGCTGATTGTCATGTATCTGGCGTGCATGCACAGGAGGAGGGGTTGCGGGGGTGCGCAGGAGACACATGTGCATGTGCAGATGTGTGGCGTGCACGGGTGTCGTGCACACATGCGCAGATGGATGGTGCGCGTGGGGGAATCGCGCGTGTTGAGGCAATTCCCCGTTAGGAGAATGAGTGCATACAGGGAGATGTAGTGAGAATAATGTTGAATAACACATGACCAGCACACAGATACACTGAATAGTAAAATGTAGGTTTTTACTTCCAGTAAACGGTTAAACAAAGTCCAACAAACAGTCCAAGTCATACATGGTTAAAGCAGTCAGTTTTCACTCCAGGGATAATCCAAATAACAAAGTCCAGTATTATAAACAGTTCAGTAAATAGACCCACAGCAATCCAAGAAGAATGACGATCAGTAACAGTCAATAGGAAAAACGCAGAAACCAAAAACAGCGAACATCAGAACATCTAGCAAGAAGCAACTCACAGCAACAACAGAACAGAACCCAGGTTTCTAGCTCCATCTTATGGCCGTTTGAGGAAGCACACCCAATTACAATTTTAGCATTCCCTTAAAGTGACAGTATTAAATGTCTATCCTGGTTTATATATTTCCAACCCAACTGTTAGGTGACTATCAATTCCTAACTGTGTGCATAGGCGCAGGGATTGTGCGCGCATGTGCAGATGCGCAGCATGTTGCGGGGGATTGCACGCGCATGCACAAGGGGTGGGTGGGGGCCCAGCACACATTGCCTTCTGGGTGCTGGCACACAAACGCGAGCGCATGCGCAATTATCAGCATGGGAGCCACAAAAGGTTTGCCACCACTGAACTAGGTGTTTCATCTACTGTGACTTATTATCGTGACAGAAATCTAAAGTTGTTACAAACCTTTGAGGAACGTTCTAAACTGAACATGGTATCGGAATTTAAAAGAAAGAAAGAAAGAAAGAAACACCTTACCACACAGATATCTGCCTGTTTACAGGAACATGTAGGGCTGATTAGCACTTCAAGCTGAGAACGAAGTTTCTCATCATCACCAAGGACTTGATTGAACTTTTTCACAAAATCCTGGGCTTTTCCAGGATCTGGAAGATTTTCTATGGAATTATAATGAAAAAGTGTCAATTCTAGTTGTGGCTTTGAACCTATGCTAAAAAGTTTTTTAATTTTAATCCACAGGTCTTACTTGCTATGGTCATCAGCTTTCCGAACATAGCAGCACTGTTTGCCTCCGACTGAAAGGAGAAGTTTAGATGAGAATTCACACAGATTTGTCATGTAATCCAGGGGTCCCCAAAAACCCGTCCGTGGACCGGTACCAGAAATCTGCCCATGCAAACAAGCAAAGCCCCATCCGCAGGGTGCAGGCAGCATGCCAAACTACACCCCCCCTCCCGGTCTGAAAAACTTTTCTTCTGTTCTGACTCAGCTCCCCAAACGTGGCAAACCCTCTGTAGTTAAATCAATGATTCCTTTATTAGGAGCGCCGGCAGCCCCAGCAAAAAGTCTCTTTCTTTCTCTCATGGCAGGCTAACAAGTCCAGCCGGCTGGGAGATAAATAGTTGTCTGCCACATCTATTCATCTTTGCCCCCTGCCTTTTATCCCCAGAGTTAGGGTGGGGCTTGGCTAGCAGCAGTGGTTCTTCCGTCCCAAGGGCCGGCCCATAGATTCCCGTTGCTCTCCTCTTGCTTTCTGCGCATCCGCAGGTCATGGCACTGGACCCAGATGTTCCTGGGTTGAGATGGCCCAGGCTCCATCTCTCTCTCTGTCTCTCTTTCTGTCCCTCTGTCTCCCTGTCTCTTTCTCCCTTTCTATGTCTCTCTCTCTCTCTCTCTTTCCCTGTCTCTCTTTCTCTGTCCCTCTCTGTCTCCCCGTCTCCCTCTCTTTCTCCCTTTCTTTGTCTCTCTTTCTCTCTCTTTCTCTGTCTCTCTCTGTCTCCCTCTCTCTTTCTCCCTTTCTTTGTCTCTCTTTCTCTGTCTCTGTCTCTCTCTCTCTCTGTCTTTTTCTCTCCATGGAACTGGTCCCTGGTGCCCCAAAGGTTGGGGGCCACTGACGTAACCCTTCTCTGACTTGTTCATAAATTTAGGGACAATTTTCAGCCCAGCCCACTTTTGAGATTTAGCAATAAATGAATATTGCTGTTATCAGATGGCTTATAAAAGCCAGATTGTAATGTTTTAAAAGATCACTTTTTCTTCCCTTAGCTCATCCATATTTTGCACATATACAGGTAGTCCTCTACTTACAACAGTTCATTTAGTGACCGTTTGAAGTTACAACAGAACTGGGGGGAAAAAGGACATGATCGTTTTTCACACTTCTGACCGTTGCGGCAGTCCCATAGTCATCTGATCAAAATTCAACCGCATAGCAACTGACTCTTATTTATGACCACTGCAGTGTCCCATGGTCACGTGATCATATTTTGTTACAAGCAAAGTTCACGAGGAAGCCGGATTCACTCAACAACCGTGTTACTAACTTAACCACTGTCGTGATTCACTTAACAACTCCAGCCAAGAAATGTCGTAAAATGGGGCAAAATTCACTGAACAAACATCTCGCTTAGCAACAGAAATTTCGGGCTCAATTGTGGTCCTAAGTGAAGGGCTAATTGTGTTATAGTGAGTGTTAGTAGTAGTTTGCCCTTGTGAGAAGAGACATCATCAAGATGACACCATATCATTCTTTGTGCCATAGATTTTACCATATTTATGTCTCATTATAAAGCTCTCAACAGGCAATTATTTGGAAAAATAGTAGAGTTCAAACAGATTCAGAGTTATTTAACACAGCAATTTTTAGACAGGAAATATTCATATTCTAAAATACAGCAATATTAAAAAGCAAAACATACAAAGTAGAACAATTATTGATTTTGAAACCTACGGTGGGTATTTTATGCAAATCTAGCAATTCCCGCATATGACTCCTAAGCATGTTCTGGCACTTCCACATTTCATTCAATGCCCTGGGCATAAAGACATGAAAAATATATTAAAGCATGAAAAAAAACCGTGACTGTGTACATAGCATAGGAAGCTCCATGGCATTCTCCACCCAGCAGCTTTTTTTTAAAATGAGATAGCTCTTCTACCCTCAGTAATGTCAAAGTTTATGCACATATTTAAGTCCCAGATTCCTACCACTTCTTACTTAATTTTATGATATGAGCCTCTGTGGCGCAGTGGTTAGAGTGCAATATTGCAAGCTACTTCTGCAGCCAGCTGCCTACAATTTGGCAGTTCAAATCCAACGAGGCTCAAGGTTGACTCAGCCTTCCATCCTTCCGAGGTCGGTAAAATGAGGATCCAAATTGTTGGGGGCAATATGCTGACTCTGTAAACCGCTTAGAGAGGGCTCTAAAGCACTATAAAGCGGTATATAAGTCTAAGTGCTATTGCTATTGAATTCAGACGCTCCCACATGCAGTTTCCCCAATTTACTCAAGAATTCATATTGCAAAATACATTTTTTAAAGTAGTTCTGAAGAATAGCAGGCTGCCTTGATCTGAATTCTATTGAATATCCAATGTAGCTAGTGACTTCAACGATCTAGCCATTACACCACAGAAGAAACTCTGCTGAGCTAACAAGACATGTTAACTTTAAAACATCTGTGCACGGAATATTTAAAATACTTGGGAAATAGATATAAAAATGTAGCTGTTGTCCCAGTCAAAGCCATACTCACTTAACAGCGTTTGGATCTAAGCTAGCATATAAATAATATAAGCACTTCATTCTCTCTTCGGTTTCCAAATTATGAGGGACAAGATACTGAGCAAAAATTTTCTCCACCAGCAATCTGCAAAGGAACATAAAAGCAGGCATCGTTTAAATTGCTCACAGTTTAATATGTTAAAAAATTTTTTGTTTTAAAGGGGAACTGTCCTACACAGATACATAGGGCGGAGCAAGGTCTGCAAGGCAATGAGGCCAAGAAGAGGTAACCCATGCTCCATGATACATATGAGAAGGCGGAGTATTTGAACATGCATCTGCCAGATATAAGTGGCCAACCATTGTAGCTGATCTCTAATAAAGAAAGGAAGGATGGAAAGGTCAGACTGCTTTGGGATTTTATTCCAGGGAGAGAACAGATCCATCCACTTACTTATCATCAATGCTATTCTGATAATAGATGTGCAAAAGTTTGTCCTTTATCCAGCTGACTTTCTCGGCTGCATCTTTTCCAGCTTCAGCATGGAGGCAGTATTTCTTGTACAGCTGAGCAAGTCCCATCATCGCTTCTTTTCTTACCCGCCACTTAAAAAAAGAAAAGAAAAAAAGAAACACATGCCCAGGGAGATGATGTTACAATCAGCTCAGGCTTAAAAATTAATGACCAGAACACATCAGAAAAGTTGCAGCTTGACTTACCACAGAAAAGTGAGCACTCTTTAGGTTAACAGCATTACAAAAGCTATATTGATAAATGAGATTGTACCAAAGGTGCTTTTTCAAAAAGCAACTGGACTTTCTTGTTTTTTTTTCCCTCGAAGAGGTTTCGCTTCTCATCCAAGAAGCTTCCTCAAATCTGGAAGAAGCTTCTTGAATGAGAAGCGAAATGTCTTCAAGGACAAAATCCAAGAAAGTCTTTGAAAAAGCACTTTTGGGACAACCATGAACAAGATGACTGAGAATCTCCATAGACAATTGAGATTGTTAAAGGATTTAAAGTGTACTCATTCCAATCACAGGGCCTCCAAAAAGTTCCTGTATTGTTCTTTTTTGAGAATCTCCATAGACAATTGTAATTGTAATTTCTAAATGATAAGTCGACATTTACCTAATCTACAATGACAATTGTAATTTCTAAATGATAAAATCAATAAAGTTTGTAAAACTTTTGGGAAACTACTTTTATTTTGAAAAAAAAAACAAAACCACGCTGCAGCAATGGTAGGAAATGATTTCACGCACACAGAACACACTCCCAAACAAGAAATGTCAGTTTTGTATTTGTCAACATAAAACAGCTCATCGACATTTATATTCAGATGAAAGGCAATTGAACTCTCCTTTCAATAACTGCCATTCATTTTTAACACAACAGCATGACATGTCTTTCCATCCGTGCCCTCAGAACCTCTCTAATGTGGAAATTACAAGATGCAAGTGACTTTACCCGCTTATCCAGTGTCCTTTCTCTGACAAAGCCAAGGAGTTGGTCATTGACTAAAGAAAGATCTCTTTTGCCCGCAGTTATGATTGTGACAATGACATCATGGCGGATGGCTTCTTCTGGATCATGGGATCTGACTTTTAAGTATTCTATTTCAAAAAAAGAAAAGTATGTGACTTCCCCTGAAAAATACTAGGTGTTCATACGCCTGCAACTAAAGAGCAAAGCCTTCAGGAATATTAAAATTAAGAGGTGTGATGCAGAACATATTGATAGACTACATTAATTAGGCATGTCAACAAAACCTGTTTGTAAAATAAATATAAGTTCAAGAAATACATATCAAAGTTAAGTAGGCAAGTACCCAACAAAGAATGACAAGGGAAGATCTGATTTGTAGACAGTCTGCTGCACTGAGCTGATAATTGGATGGTATTTCACAAATGGATTGATAAACACCTCCTCTTATTTTATATGTTGAGTGGTGCAAGATATAAGCATCATTAACATTTTCTATTCTTTCTATGAAGAAACATATCTCCAGAATGTCTTCTGAGCCTTGTAATTAATAATTCTTTGATTATTATCAAACCAGTGTTGTACCTTCATGTTATTTATTTGAACCTATTATCCTCAATTCTTCTGAATTAAGATATCTTACCAGTGAGGTCTTTTGCTAAATCTGGGTGGTTCATTAAACAATGACTTGCAAATTTCACACTTTCTAATCTCACAGGAACATGAATATCATTGAATCTAAAAGAGAGGAATATATAAATCCAAAATTATATTCGACTTCAGTGACAAATAAAATAAACTAAATATGCTTTCATGAAAATATACTTTCACAATGCTACATACTACAAATATATAATCCAACATACTGAGCATCCCACACAATAAACCAAATTCAATAAATAAAACAAAAAGTAAGTATTTTCAGTTTAACTACACAGAAAAGACAGGAAAATTAAAATGGATAATTTCTCAAAACCAAACCCGACTTCTTAAAATAAAGCAAAAACTAATTACTATATTAAGTATTCAAGGTAAATGCAAATACAAACATGTATTTACTGTACAGTACATGCATATTATTTCAAGGAATGATAACAGCATAATGTATAAAACCAAGAAAAAAAAATCTATTTGGCTAAAACATATAGATAGCATTTCAAGTTCAAAATATGTTATATGAATGTCACTTACTATAATACAGCAAATACACATAGTATTCACTGCGTTACAAATTTTATATAAGGCTTTTAAAAACAAGCAAAGTTTTTAAAAAAGTTCTTACAGAAAAAGAATGTCTAAAATCAACCCCAATATATATATAATTATAAGAACTTATAATTGACTTCAGGAGGAAGGGAGATGTACATTTACCATTGTACATAAATGGCAAGGAGGTGGAGAGGGCTGGTAGTTTTAAATTTCTGGACACTTATTTCTCAGAGGACCTCTCATGGATTATGAACGCTAACATGCTTGTGAAGAAGGCACAGAAGAAGAGGCTGTACTTCCTGAGAATGCTCAGGAAGATAAATCTATCTCTACTACCGCAGCACCATTGAGTGTCCTGACATATGGCATTCTTGCATAGTATGGGAGCAGCTCTGTAGCGGACAAAAAGGCTCTACAGAGAATCATTAAAACTGGCCAGAATATCATCGGGCTCTAGCTACCAGCCATGGACAACATCTTCGCATCTTGCTGTTTGAGGAAGTCACACAACATTCTCAGAGACTCTTCCCATCCTGCATACAATCTTTGTGAACTGCTGCCTTCTGGCAAAAGATACAGAACCATTAAAACTCGGACCACACGTTTTCTGAACAGTTTTTATCCCAGAGCTAGAATTGCCCTTAACAATGAACTTAGGGACCACTATCAGTGAGCTGTTGGACAGTATTACTTGGTCTGTTGTGTGGGTGCTTCTTTGTTTTTAGGAGGTGGGGAATTTTGGCAGGTGGGGAGGTGTTTGGGGATTGTCATGCGTGTCCATGTTGAGTCTGGTCTCTGGGTGTTCTGTGAATTTCATTGTATGTATACTGTGTATATACGTACAATGACAATAAAGAATTCAATTCAATTCAATATATATATAGTTGCATTTCTCACCGGCCAAGAAAACACTGCCAAAGTGGACGATTTTGTGTTGCAAGATCTGAATCTTTGGAACCAAATAACTTTGCTAAAAGCCTTACGACAGCTAAGCGTTCTTCTCCATCATTGCTCTGTCAATTAAAGACAAAAGTGAAAGGTATGGATATAACATTTAAGCAAGTTGGAATATTTGCTCTCGTTCCACAAAGTAAGTTAAATCAAAGTAATGGAAAGTTTAAAGTTATGCACTTCACTTGAAATCCTTTCCTAGGTTTAATGCAGGTAGTCCTTGACTTATGATCACAATTGAGCCCAAAACTTCTGTTGCTAGGTGACATAGTTGTTAAGTAAGCTTTGCATCATTTTGCGCCCTTACTTGCCATTGTTGTTAAGTGAATCTGGCTTCCCCATGGACTTTGCTTGTCAAAAGATTGCAAAAGGGGATCACATGACCCTGGGACACTGCAACGGTCGTAACTATGAGTCAATTGCCAAGAGTCTGATTTATGATCACATGACTATGGAGATATTGCAGCAGACATTATGTTGTATGCCAATTTTTGTCCAGCCAGAACTGAGATATCTCTTCATAGGGATGTCTCTTTTTCTCTGATATTTTTTTTAAGCAATATGTAGAGCAAGGGTTGAACCCAGTTTAAGGCTTTTGGACTTCAACTGCCAGAATTCCTGAGCTAACATGACTGGAGGAGGAATTCTGGGGGTTGAAGTCCACAAGTCTTAAAAGCTGCCAAGTTTGGAGACCTCTGCTATAGCACCTAAGATTTTCGGCCTAAGACAAGGGTCTTTGAACTTGCCCAGTTTAAAGCTTGTGGATTTCAACTCCCAGAATTCCTGAGCTAACGTGACTGGAGGAGGAATTCTGGGAGTTGAAGTCCACAAGTCTTAAAGTTGTCAAGTTTGAAGACCCTTGGTGGAGAGTAACATATACCTGACTTACAACTGATTCTTTAATGACAGTTCAAAGTTACAATGGCACTGAAAAAAAAAATAACTCTTCACTCTTATGACAATTGTAGCACCCCCACAGTCACATGATCAAAATTCAGATGCTTGGCAACCGGCTCATATTTATGACTGTTGCAGTGGGTCATATAATCCCCATTTTGTGACCCTCTGATAAGCAAAGTCAAGGGGGGAAGCCAGATTCACTTAACAACCGGGTTAGTAACTTATCAAACAACAGTGGCAAGAAAAGTCATAAATAGGACAGAACAACTGTTTCACTTAGCTATGGCAATTTTGGATTCAAATGTGGTCGTAACTGGAGGACTACCTGTATTCTAAACGTGACCTCACTAGTGCAGTATAGAATGGTACTATCGCTTCCTGTGATCTTGACAGCAATGGCACTTAAGACTTATATACTGCTTTATAGTGCTTTACAGCCCTCTCTAAGCGGTTTAGAATCAGCCTGTTTCCCCTAGCAATCTGGATCCTCATTTTACCCACCTCAGAAGGATGGAAGGCTGAGTCAACCTTTGAGCCGGTCAGGATTGAACCTCTGGCAGAGGGCAGTTAGATTGCAATATAGAACTCTAACCACTGCGCCACCACAGTTTGTTTGTTTGTTTGTTTGTTTGTTTGTTTGTTTGTTTGTTTGTTTGTTTCCTCCCTCCCTCCCTTCCCTTCCCTTCCCTTCCCTTTCCTTCACAAATAGTAGCACTTAGACTTATATTCCACTTCATTTTACCACCCTCTCTAAGCGGTTTACAGAGTCAGCCTTTTGCCACCAGCAATCTTGGGTCCTCATTTTACCCACCTCGGAAGGATGGAAGGTTGAGTCAACCTTTGCGCCAGTCAGGATCAAACTGCTGGCAGTCGGCAGAATTAGCCTGCAATATACTGCATTCTAACCACATCACAGCTCCCGATGCTATCCTTCTGCAATAGAGCCTAGGATTGTATTACTTATTCTGTTTCATGAGCATGCCAATGATTCTTTGGAAGTTGTCCAAGATATAGTTACTTCCATTGGCAAGTATAGAAACAAATGTGTTCTGAAAAACTCTCCGATTCATGCCTTTTCCGTATGCCAATGCTACAGGCTTTCATACATACAGAATCTGAGGTAAGATCAATTCTTCTTACCTTCAGCTTGAACTCCAGCTGTGGCATGACAGACAACAGAAGATTAGGATCGACAGCGAAAAGTTCTTGTATTAGATCAAATATATGCTCAGACAAGTCACTCACAGAAGACTTTCCTAGTACCAAAACCTGATTAAAAAACTAATAAAAGAGAAAATGTTTGCTTTAAAAAGTAAATATTTTCAAAACATCTACACATTTTAACTGATCATTGCCATAACTATCACACGTTTGCAAAACTTTGTTCAATATTAAAGCATTCCTCCTGCCCTTATGGCTGTGTCAGGTAGTATGGGGATCCAAGTGTAGGACACAACCCCGAGGATGGCTGGTGGCTTGAGGTCGTTCCATCATTTTTTAACTTGGTCTATTTTGGAATGAATTTTATGTGGATTTTAAACCTTTTTTTAAAAATTGTAAATTATTTCCATTTATTATTTAAACGTTAAAGATTTTTCAGAACAAAATAAAGCTTTCACTTGTATTGTATAAATATTTCAAGAGAGCAATCTTAAGTTGGTGTTATAGGAGTAATTCAGGGCGGAGGAATTCACATTTACTTATATCCTATTGATTTGACATAATCCAGGAAGGAAATTATGTTTTTCTTACTGTCAATTCCTGTAAGCAGGTATAAAATAGTCCTTGGACTGATAGTTACAAATCTAGAATATTTTCCACTGACTCATGGCTGTTTCCTATTTGACAGTCTAGGAAAAGGGAAGCCTGGCGATAAGATATGGAGAATTAACTTTGTCTATTTTTGAATGGATTTTTATATGGATTTTATTGCTTGCTACTTGTAAACCAAACCAAAGTCACTTCGGCAGTGAGATGGGGCAATGTATAAATTTGATTAGTAAATGAATAGAATTGTGGTTTCAATTTCTATCCAACACACAGCATCAAAGATGAAATTCTATCACCCTCACACATATGTTGGAGCAAATTACAGGACACCAAGATTCTCAAGATAGCAAAAACCATTAAAAATTCCTGTCTCAAGCATTAGGAGTGTAGACACTAAGGGTCTTTTTTTAAAAAAAATGGAATGGTAATCTTTGAAATCATAAAGCAAGATTATCCTGTGGGATATATTTTCGACAACAAGTGTATTTCGCAAGGACGCTACAAGTTAAAAGATTAGCATTCTACTTCAGTGCAAATTGTGGACCGAAGCAGCTGAAACTTTGATCATATTGATGGCCTTGGATCAGATTATTTAGTAACATGATGCAACTTAATAATTTTCCCTAACTGTATTTTACACACACAAACTCCTTCACTTCTATCCTGCATCACAAACACATTAACAAGTTCACAGATAATCCTATTGAAATTAATTATCCCTGTATAGGTACTAAGCCTTAAAGCCAGCTTTTATTTGAAAACTCGATTTTTCCCCCTTATAATTGGCTTGCAGATTTTAAAGTTACGCACTTTGTAAGCATTTGTAGCAAGTGACAAGGCAGTTATAACCCACATCACTGCTAATTATTTCTACCTCTAGATGCTGGGCGGTCTAAAAATTCGATGTGCTACATCCAGTAATTTTTTCTGTTTATCAGCACACAATGTCAGTTTGCTAACCTGGCCAACACAGCATGACTGCCTTGTCATGAATTTAGCTTATCTGTGACTGAAATAGTGGGAAGGAAGAGATGTAATAGATGTAGGATTATGCTTGCTGAGTAATTGGCCTCATAGTGCATGTAAAGTATCAATGCTCGTTTTCAAATTTTATAAATGTGCTATAATGAATCCAAAGAAATATTCAAAACAAGTAAGGTTTTAAAATGCAGCAATCGCTAGTATGTTAAAATGTGTAATACATACATTGGCAATGCATGGTTCAATGGTTTGGACTGTTCTTTTCAACAGGATTTTTGCAAGATCAAAGGCCTGTTTATTAAGGTTCTAGAATAAAAAGAAAAAAATGTTTAAGAAAATTACAGTTATTAAGCAATTCATGCTAGATATTTCCGAACACAAGGTATGAGGCAAATTCTAAAGTGTGATATGTATACATGTATGCGATAGATAGATAGATAATAGACAGATATAGATACAGACAGACAGACAGACAGATATATATATATTTTAATCTTGCCTTTTTACCAGGAAAGATGTGAATGAACCTTACATTCATGAATATTACTATAAATCTGTTCTTTTATAGATAGGAGAATATGATTCGGCAACATTCTGGCTGTGTGTGTGTATATATATGTATACATACATACATACATACATACATACATACATACATACATACAATGCATGCATATACCAAGAGTTCACCAAAAGTTAACAAAATTTAAACAATGACCTAAATCTCATGTGTCTATCAAGCCCTACAATCTTTCAAGATTGACTGCATCACTGCATGGTGCACCTCGTGACTGAACAAATCGCTAACCTCCATTTTAAAACAACTTTTTAAAAACCACCCTAGTAGGTTCACAAATTATAACGTCACTAATTATATACCGACAACAAAATATAAGTTAAAATACACGCAGGTGCCTAGTTGTTGTCTTTAACAACATGCCCCTTATAACTTTTCTGAACATCTTTGTATTTAAAAATAAGATTGCCCCTATGAGGTTCCATTAGAAATAAGAGAAAGGAAAGATCAGCAGAAGGCCAGCAATTTTCCTATTTAAGGTCCCTGTTACTCTGTATTCTCTATTTTGGCAACACATCCTGTAAGATGGAGGTGGAGAACTATGGTCCCTTTATGACTTGTGGACTTCAATTCCCAGAGTTCCTGAGCCAGCTATGTTGGCTCAAGGCTTCTGGGAGTTGAAATCCAGAGGTCATAAAAGGACCGTAGTTCCCCACATCCCACTGTAAGAGAAGACTTTTAATTTCTATCCCAAGCATACAAGAGGTTTTTTCTTTTTGGTCTTTGCAAACCTTGTGTGCAGGAATGAGGTTGATAAGAATGGAGTCCAACAGTTCTTGAGTCACCCCATCGCCTTCCATGATGATAGAACTCATCAAATCTAGCATATGCATTTGGACCTTCTGATTGTGGCTATTGCTAAATATAACATTAAAATTAGATTATTAAATGACAACCATGTTAGTACTCAATTAAAACATCTTGTTACTAAATTTCAGTCAATAATCAACAAGTTTGCTCTTGTTTTTAATAAAAATGACCAGGTCATATGAAAGACATTTTAAATTTTATTTCTCTCTTGATTTTACTGGGAAACATCATGTTATCTGGGTTCTTCTGTTTTTCCCCATACCTTTCCCACTAATTCGCCAAAGCATTAATATTCATTATCAAAATCATTTGCATAGGACGAAGAGACGGGTTACATATTTTATCGTGCAGATTTCAAACATCTTTGCTCTAAAATTCACTCTCAGGACAAAATGACTCGAGAAAGTCAGGGTGAATGTTTAGTTTCTTGCCAATGTCACTGTACCCCAAAGGCAAAAGAATATATATTTTTATATGGGAAAGTAATGTGTTCTAACTGTGGACAATTCTGGGACCTTGGTGCTCTCTAAGCTTGCTAGTTTTCTTGCAGACATTTCACTACCAAACTAGGTAGCATCATCAAGCAATCATCAGGCAATTAGTCAGTCAATTAATCAGTCAACAGGCCATTAAAAATTGTCTCAGATTCTTTTAGATTATATTTTTGTCCTCTATCTACTATCTTGTCAATTAATTATCTTGACTCACAGAATTAAACTGAAGCTAGAGAGAAGCAAAATTTTCCACGCACCTCTATTCATGCTCATTGCTTGGATGTATTAGATTCATAAGATACAAAGAACTTGATTCTGATGTTTAGGCATGCCTATGGTTGCCATGGTGTATTTCTCAGCCTGGTAATTCTGCCATTGCAGGATTTATTTTTGCAACCCTAAAGTTCATGTGTAACACTGCTACCATAGTACAGTTTTATAAAGTTGTAATAAAAACAGTTATGTTGTAGAAATACAGCATATCTTTATTAATGTAACAAAAGTTAGCATATTTGCCCATGCGCCTTTCTGAAAATGCACAAAATAGGCACGGCTACTCCAACTTACTTGATAACTGAAAAGAGAGTCCTAAAAAGCTGAATAAAAATTTCATTGCAATCTTCCAACTCAAAGCAGATGTTGTAAGATTTAACCCACGCTAAGTTCTGTAACAAAAACAAAGCATTAATATTATCATTTCAATCCGAACTACATGTCAATGGCAAAAGGTCAGCACAACCTCAAAATAACTTGCCAGCGATGAAACACTGGTTTGTTGAAAAAGAGCATCATAACGTTTTTGTATGCTTTGATATATTAAACTGAAAAGGAGCAAAGGGGGAAATATTTTGCCTTTTCAACAGAAACTGAACAAGCATTTATAAAGCTGCAACATTCATAAACATAACTCAAGTTTTGTTGAGCCCTGATACAGATTTGATTTAATTTGATATAAATTCTTACCTCTAATAAGTAAAAGTATCTGTTAAACTGAGGGCTTTTAGTGTCCTCTAATCCTTTTAACTGTCTTGTAATAAACAAAAATATATCCTGCAAAACAAGAACATTTTTAATGAATTATATTATCGATAGATTTCTATCTTGGGTTGTTGGGTTTTTTTGCAACTTAAGTGATACTCCCAGCATTAAGAAAATTCACAAAAGCTTTTATTCAGATGTAATGATTAACTATAGTGATGTTTACAGTTTTGTGAACTCTTTGATTAGCCATTTCTTCCCCAGAGCCAGTGACTGTGGTGGAATGAAGAGTTAGCAACTAGACTGCCTGTAACTAATTCCTCTCTGGGAAAGGAGAGGACATGGGATCGCCCACAAATGCTCCACGCAGTTGCTCATGAGGAGACCATAAAACTGGATAAAGAGAACCCAATTAAGCCAATGAGTTTGCAATCTACAAACATCTATTAATGTTAGCTGCTCTATATATTGAAATAACTTTTAGGGAAGGTATTTAAGTACCACTATTCAGCTCAAGCTTACATGATCAAAGGGATATATGTTTTGAATTCATATACTCTTCCCCCTTAGTTGGCACTACCTTAAATTCTGCATCCATTTATGATTCATGTAGTTAGCAACAAACTGAGGCTAAAATTAAATTACAGAATTCAATCTGCCTAGAGTCAGACATGCAAGCTTGGTCTTTTTTTCTCAACAAAACACAATGCAAATGTTTCTATTTCCTCTCCCTTTGGAAAAGGAACCTGCAAGATTAATAGTTGCCTCAGTTTGTTCAGATAACCATTAATCCTGGTTTATTATTACAGGTGCATTATGCTGTTATCTGTTCCTGACTTAGTGAGACAACCATCATTTCTTTGAAAATCTCAAGAGCCAAAGAAGGTGGAAACAATTTGTTAATTTACCTTGAGCTTGTCATGTGAAGTATACGGTGCTTCAGGGGCATAAATTCGAAATATATCAGCCAAACAACAAGCTACAAGGAGACGGACATCTTTGTTGGGGTTCCTGAGGAAGAATTCGGACGCAAGGTGCAAGGCTAAAGGGAGATATTGTTGTTTCTCATCTTCTGAATCCTGGTCCATATCCATAAACGTTTTCACTACCATCTAGGAAACAAGATAAACATTTCCTATTTTCATTTCCAAATTGTAATATCATTTATAATGACCTGAAAACAATGGTTTGGCAAATGTATCTCTTTCAAGATTCTTTATTAGTCTTTATATATTTAATAAGAGCTGTGGTGGCACAATGGTTAGAATGCAGTACTGCAGGCCACTTCTGCTGTCTGCCGGCTGCCTGCAATTTGGCAGTACAAATCCCACCAGGCTCAAGGTTGACTCAGCCTTCCATCTTTCCGAGGTGGGTAAAATGAGGACCCAGATTGTTGGGGACAATATGCTGACTCTGTAAACTACTCAGGGAAGGCTGTAAAGCACTGTGATATATAAGGTATATATCACAGGTATATAAGTCTGCTATTGCTATTGCCAATTGGCTCAGTAATAGAGGTATTGAATCTTCAATATATTCTCCAGACAAGACCAAATAAAAGAAATACAAAAACAAAATAATGGAATAAATAACAAATCAAATTAAAAGCAGCAAACAATAAATATAAAGGAAGCACGCTAATGTAATGGTACTGTTTATCAGCAAGAAAGAAAACCTTGGCAGGAAAATAAAAGGATTCTTTTCTTGATTTGAAAATGGAAATGTATATAAGCTGAGGAAAATACTCTTAATAGAATAAGACCATCGCTAAAAGCTGCTGTGGAAGAGAAGGGCACCAAAAAGAAAGATGTGAATCCTGGGGGGGTTATATTTTTGGACATGGCAACGTTCCTTTGCTGCCCAGCCAGATCTTTTTACTGGTAGTCCCCAACTTATGACCACAATTCTGCCCAAAATTTCTGTTGTTAACGGGAGACATTTGTTCAGTGGGCTTCGCCCCACTTTACGACTTTTCTGCCTCAGCTGTTAAGTGAATCACTGCAGTTGATAAGTTAGTAATTCAGTTGTTAAGTGAATCTGACTTCGCCCCTGAATTTGCTTGTCAGAAGGTCGCAAAAGGGGATTGTGTGACTTTGGGACATCGCAACGGTCATAAATGTGAATCCGTCGCCAAGCCTCTGAATTTTGATCACATGACCATGGGGATGCTGCAAAGGTCGTAACTGTGAAAACCGGTCGTAAGTCACCTTTTTCAGCGCCGTTGTAACTTTGAACTAAATGAACTGCCGTGAGTCAAGGCCTACTTGTACGGCATACCGGATCTTCCTTTCCTGCAGCGTTTGATCATGGACATGTACGTTATTTTTTGTTACCATTCACAAACAGGCAGCTAAAGAGCAAAAACAATTTTGCCCTCTGGGCACAGGACAGAAAAAACTCATTCACAAGAACAGGTCTTGGTTTACACACACACAGTGCTCTCGCTGTACCTACCCTGGCCCATGAACCATCAATCCGAACTTACACCATTTCACTTCTCTCCAAAGGTCAGAAGATTTGCTGCCATCTCCAACCTTACATGCCCCAACAAATGCCACTTAAGCCTTTGCCACCTTGTGCAAGGACCTTCTGCAAGTCTGATTGGGTCGTCACTCATATACACAATACCGTTTCTCCAAAAATAAGACCCTGTCTTATATTTTTTTGTCACCAAAAAAAGGCACCAGGTCTTATTTTCAGGGATGTCATCCACTGATAACCTCATTTGCGCGTGTCGTCCCTGGCCTCCTTTTTGCTGCCAGAGGCCTTCAGGAACTTCTGCAGGTGGCAAGGCTTTCCTGAAGGCCTCTGCAGCCGATAAAGGATCTCCAGATCGATCCAGAGCTTTGTTATCTGCTCCAGAGGCCTTCAGGAAAGCCTTGCCAGCCTTGCTGGCTGCAAAAGAACTGGGCCAGCAAGGCAGGTGTCGGGGTGTGCGAGGCCTGGCTATAACTGTCCAAAGGTAAGTAGTAGGGCGGCTCCACCCCCCCATCTCCACCCTAACTTTTTACCTGTCCACTCTGGAGTGGGCGGGATCTTAATTAGGGCTTATTTGGGGGGGGGCTTATATTGGGCACATGTGTAGAAATCAAGCTAGGACTTACTTTCAGGATAGGCCATATTTTCAGGGAAACGGGGTAACTAATCCATCCCGATTCATATCAGCTAATTGGCACTTTCCAACTCTTTCTAAGATGCAAGAGTTTATGCACACTCTTTTCACTTACCTTCCTACCTGCCTCTCTCCCCCTCCCTCTCTCACTGTACAGAGGAAAACCGCCTTTTGCCAAATTGGCTGTTGCCCAGGGAATGCAACATTATGGTCTAAATCACTTTGATAAAATCTGCTTTCCCGTTTACTAGTTTTTCTGGTTTCGCTTCATGTTGGTTTCTGAGGCGGCAGCAGCACGTCGTCTTTTCTGGCCTCGTCTCCCTCTCAGTTTCACCAGTACAGACAGGTAGGCGTCGGCTTACAACTCAGAACTGAGCCCAACATTTCTGCTTGTTTTCAGTGAGACATGTGTGAAGTGGGTGTTGTCCCCTTTTACGACTTCTCTCGCCCCCCCAGGGGTGAAAGGGAATCATAGCAGCTGATCAGTGAGTGACACGGTTGTTAAGTGAATCAGATTCCCCCCTCCCATTGGCTTGGCTTGTCAGAAGGTCGCAAAAGGGGATTGCGTGAACCCGGGACATGGCAAAGGTCATAAATAGGAACCGGGTGCCAAGCGTCTGAATTTTGATTGCATGATCGTGGGAATGCTGCAAAGATTGTACCTAGGGAAAACGGTCAGAAGTCACATTTGTCAGTACCACTGTAACTTTGAACAGCTACTAAATGAGTGGGTGCAAGGCGAGGACAACCTTTAGCCATCATAGCTATTCTGCAATTCAGCAGGCAATCCTTGTCTAACTGAGGTTACTCTCACGGACCTCTGCATGGCTCGTCTCCAGACCAGGCCCAGTTGTCTGGAGCATGTTTCAGATACTGTCCTTCTCGCTGGTACAGGTGGATACACACTTCCCCAGACCTTCCAAAATAAAACTTACTGGAAGTGCCTCCAATACATCTCTCCATCTAGGCTGGAAGGAGGTGTAAAGAAGGGGCCAAGTTTAGAGTTCTTGCATGGCAAAAACGGTTACAGGCCTGACCTTCTCCCGAGAATCCCTGAACCAGGGGTGGGCTTCAAAATTTTTTAGCAACCGGTTCTCTGCCCGGTTGCTGGGTGGGCGTGGCCATGGTAGACGTGGCCTACTTGGCCTCCTGCAACATGGGGGGGGGGCATTTTCACCCTCCCCAGGCTCCAGAGGCTTTCCTTGAGCCTCCGGGAGGGCAAAAACAGCCTCCCCAGGCTCCAGAGGCCCTCTGGAGGCCAGAAACAGACTCATTTCCAGCCTTCCTGAACTTCCAGGAGACCTGTTTTTCGCCCTCCCCAGGCTCTGGAGGCTTTCCTAGAGCATCCGGGAGGGCGAAAATGGCCTCCCCTGGGCTCCGGAGGCCTAGGCTTTCAGAATCTCCAGGAGGCCCATTTTTCACCCTTCCTGAGCCTCCATACGGCCCCTGCACTTACCTTGGATCCAATACGGGCCGCGTGGAGACTCCTGGGAGGGGAGGGGTGGGCGGGGCCAGCCATGGGTGGGGTTTGCGGGTTCGCTGAACTCTGCAGAATCCTAGATGACCACCCAAACCCGTGCAAACCCACAGTAGCCCACCCCTGCCCTGAACCCTTATTTGACCACTCCCAAGGGAAAGCAATGAAGTGAACTGTGCCTCATTTTAGAACTTTTCTTGCCACTGTTGTTAAGTGAATCCCTACAGTTGCTAAAATTACTAACAGGGTTGTTAATTGTGAATCTGGCTTCCCCACTGCCTTTGCTTGTCAGAAGGTCGCCAAAGGGGATCACATGAGCCTGGGACACTGCAAGTGTCATAAATATGAGTCACCTGCCAAGCGCCTGAATTTTGATCACGTGACCCTGGGGAGGCTGCAAGGAGCCTAGGTGTGGAAAAACAACCCCAAGTCACTTTTTTTCAGTGCTGGTATACCTTTAGTCACTAAATGAACTGTTGTAAGGATTTTCTGGGAAGCCAGCAGGGAAGATAGCAAACAGTGATCACGTGGTCGCAGTCATCAATGCCAGCGGGTTGCCACATGCCCTTATCGCAATCGTGCAGTTGCCGGGGGCACTTGCAAATGGCATAACTCTGGGAACAAGTCGTAGGTCCCTTCGTTCAGCACAGTCGTAGTTTTGAAAGGTCGCCAAACAAATGATTGTAAAAGTCATACATATCATGAGGGCATGCTAGGAAGTCAACCCTATGAATTCATCTTTCAACTACGTTTTTTAAAAGGCACGATTACCCTTCTCCTAATATATTAACACAGAGATGCCCAGCCACTGGGCCACAGCTACTGGGCCATGGCCTATTCGGAATTGGGCCTTGCGAGTGGCTGGCTGGAGCACGCATGCTCTTGCAGCTCAGCCTGGCTGGTAGTGGTGAATCACTGCTTGCGCTACTCCTTCCGTCAAAACGACGCTATAGAGCACTGCACAGCAGAACAACTAGACACAAGAACAGTTTTTTCCCAAAAGCCATCACTCTGCTAAACAAATAATCATTAAGTGTCGTACCTTATGATTCTTGACTCTTGACGAATGTATATTTTCTTTTATGTATACTGAGAGTATGTACACCAAGACAAATTCCTTGTGTGTCCAATCACACTTGGCCAGTAAAGTATTCTATTCTATTCTGTTCTATTCTGTGAGCGTGTGCACTGGCCACCCAGTCATGCAATGGCTGCATGCATGCATGCACACTGGCCTGCTGCTCGCATAGCCCAGTTCCCCTCTCCCCCTCCAGCTGGAGCTGCAAAGGTTAGAGACCACTGCATTAATGAATGCAGCCTGTGGGGATAAAGACTTTACAGAAGACATGCAGGGTTATAGGAAAGGCTATTAGGGGCAAAAATGTTTTGAATGTTAAGTTTCTCCCCCAAGGATAAGCACTCAGCTGGCAATGATCTCAAAAAGTTAACTATAATCTGATTGGTATTTGGATGAGAGTTCTAAGAATAATACTTAGGGCTGGTAAATAAATAAAATTAAATAA